AATTTCTCCAAGGAGAGAACTATGCTTTTGAAAAGAGAGTTTTGAAAGTCTAATTCTCATATATTCTCAAAAGTGTCATGTATATAGTAAGAGGAATGTATATATAGAGTAGCTTGTTGTGCAAGTTAAGCTAACCATTGTTACATGTAACTAAGGTTAGTTTAACTTGTACTGAAGATTACTAACTCTAGTTACAATTTTCAAATTTGAATTTCCCTCCTAAAAATGTTATTATCCTAGATCTAAAAGAGTCAATGAGATCATGATACATAGTAAGGTAAAAATGGTATGACTAGATGTCAACATCCTAAATCTTGAAGAGCAAATGAGAGCATCTCACATGGAAAGTTGCTAAAAGTGTAATTAGGTGTGATACATGTGACTTGTTGGAGGTTGAATAGCCATGAGTGTTAGTGGTCGACACAAAGTGGACATTCACTTCGAGGCCTTCAATGCTCCTGATACTCTCTCGTAGGCTAATCTAGCCCAATAAGAAAATATCTCATTACTAGTTACACCTCGTCCCTTAAAATACTAATTACTCTCATAAAAAGACAAACAAATAACTTTCTACACTAATTGACCCAGAAAGACATTGTCAAAAATAAGAAAACATTTTCATATACACAAAGAATATATAAACTAAAGAATTAACTTATAACTCAAAAGGAGCTTAGGCATTCTACCTTCATCACGAGCCTATTTCTCTTGTATCACTTTTGACATAGCCCTCGTAGTAGGACCTTTAGGGAGCAATATGTCATCAGAATGGGTTGAAGTTTGATTCTATGCAAGTTTTAGCAACTTTTGGAAATGCAAATATTGTTCCATGGGCCATCCATGGTATAGGTGGAAGCATGGCCTTTCTCTTTGCTCTCAAATGGGCTTCCTAACATCGCATATTTACAAAGAAAATCAATGTGTTGATAATTTAGTTGTTCAAGGATTAGTTAATCTTTTGGATTTTATATGGTTGGATACATTATCCACTTTTATTAGGGAATCTTTTGTTTTCGTAACCATATGGATTTACCTAGTTTTAGATTTTATTGATTTTAGGAATGTGTCTTGGTTTAATCCTTTCCTTATTGTATGTTTCTATTTTTTTTAGTAATATTGTTGGCGCTTCACAAATGATTGGTAGGCCTAGCAGTACCAACTTGGTTGAGATGACTATGTTTTATAGTGATGTGCTTCCTAACATCACATATTTACAAAGAAAATTGATGTGCTAAAAAATTAGTTGCTCATGGATTAGCTAATTGTTTGGATTCTATATGGTAGGATATATTATCCATTTTTATTAGGGAATATTTATTTTTGTAATCATATGGATTTACCTAGTTTTACATTTTGCTGATTTTAGGAATGTGTTTTAGTCTAATCCCTTTAGTTTTATTTTTTTTAATAATATTGTTGGGTCTTTACAAATAAATGGTAGGCCTAGTGATACCAACTTGGTTGAGATGTCTTGATGGAATCTCCAATGAAGAATGATAGTCGAATTCCTCATTGAAGCTCATTGAATCCACTTAATCCTTCTTTGATGATCTCCAATTGATTTTGACCCAAGAAGATGGATGGAAGAAGAGTGAATGGGCATGCCAAGTCTCCAAGGGAAGGAGAAGCAGGCAAGTACACTATTCTGCAAGGTTTCCTTGTTGGAAGTGCTTAAGGAGAATGATTCTCCAATGAGTCCTTTTAGAGAGAAAGGAGAGAATTCTGAATGAATAAAATACTCATGTACTCAAAAGTGATCGAATATAAAGGGAAAGGAACCATATATATATCTTGGTGGCTTCTAGGAGAAGTTAATCTAACCATGGGTCAAAAGTGAACTGTGGTTGCTTAACTAGCATGTGGCACGCCAAATTTGAATTCAAAATTCAAATTTGATGCGTGAACCAAGGCTCCCACATGTGTAACTAGATCTAGGAGTTTGAATTATGCATTTGCATGCCATGTTATGCACATTTGCATTTGAATTTGGTAGCCCATGTGCGTCTAACCACATGATAGGCCACATGGCTACCAATTCAAATTCGAATGTGTATCCATGATTCAAATTACTAATAACAACTCCTAAGGTCCATCAAAGAAAAAATATTTATTCTACTTAACCCAAGAAATACAAGGCCCATAAATCCTACTCTACATGGCCCAAAATACAAGGCCTTAAAAAATACAAGCTCAAACAAGACCCAAAATCCTATACTACTAGGGTTATAATACAAGGCCCAAAATAAAGAGGAGTATTGGGCTTTAAGTAATAGCCCAACTCAAACAAAGCTTGAATCCACTAACCACAACACAAGCTTAATCCTCCCGCATCTTCTTGCCATGACCTTAGTGGTGAGTCCCTTGGCTATGCATCTACCATCATGTCTATGTCTTATAGTGATACCTAGTGCACCATAACCTTTATTTAAAAAATATATAGTAGTGAGGAAAGAAGGGTAGAGGAAGAAGAGTGAATAAGAAAAATAGATTTTGAAAATAAAGATAATGTCAAGGAAAGAATAAATTACAAAGATATTTAGAAATTAAAAATATATATATATATATCATTTTTTTATTAAAAAAATATTAGAGTAAATAATTATTGATGATGATAATTTTATAAATAATTTTTTGTATTAATGAAATAAATAAAGGTCTAATTTTCCCTTCGTTCTTGATCCCCCTTCACTAGGCAACCATTAGTGGCCTACATAGCGTAAAAGTCTACAATTACATGACTATTACTCATAATATCCTGTAGTCAAAAGTCAATAACATGGTATCTTGCAGATTTGATTTAGGCCCAAACGTGCGGTTAAAGTGAAAGTAAGAGGTGCCGAACAACTGTTATTGGGCTCCAAATACGGGCTGATTTCATTACGTTTATAACATTTTTATTGTTATTTTTCTTCTCATAATTGATATGTTAGCAAAACAAATTATCATGATTCGCTTTTCTATCTTTTCTCTTTGCTTTGCTGATTTTTTTGGTTTGTATTTGTCACTATTTACCATCTTAAGATTTTAAAAAAATTCTTAAAAGAAAAGTTTAATTAATTAACTTGCTTATTTTAACAATCTTACTTAAAAAAGTACATTAGGCAAATAAAAATTGTTTTATTTAATAAAGAACGATAATGCAAATAAGATAAAGGTTAAAAACTTAATTTGGTTCCTTATAATATTTTTTTGTTTCAATTTAGTCCCACTTTAATTTTTGGTTTCAATTTGGTCCCTAATAATTTAAATTATTGCAATGTTGGACTTTCTTCCAAATTATTTAAACGAAATTAACTGTTGGCTACGTGGATGCCACATAGATGCATAAGTGGATGCCAAATTTTTTTAAAACATCTGAAACCAGAACGACCCATTCTAAAACCAGAACGGCCCATTCTGCTTGCACTCTTGGTGTGTTAATTTTGCACCTGGAACGGGCCGTTCCAGATGCAAAATTAACACACCAATAGTGCAAGCAGAACGGGTCATTCTGGTTTCAAAACGGGCCGTTCTAGTTCCAGAATGCCACACACAAACGGTCGATGATTATAGTTCACGCCTGTGATTCTAAATCACGGTTGTGAGTCGTGCAAGGAAAAAGACTCAAGGTACAAAGCATTTCAAACACTGGATTTGGTAATATTGTCAATGGAGATTGATAACTTCAATTGCTAAACATTTGGGCTATACAGTGTATCACTAAGGACAATGCAATGTATCACTAAGGACAATGGTGGCAGGTTTTATTTCATTGTTAGTCAAACTGAAGTGAACCACTTACTACCAAATCGATACTATATAGTCAAGGATGAAACAACATGGTATTTTCCCTTGAAGTCATTAATCGATGTACCTCAACAACAACAACCTGTTCTTGAGGAGGTACAATCTAAAGTAGAGGAAGAGGACACACAGGACCAACATTTTACCACACAAACACATGTACAGTAGATAATGCTGATATCCTGTCAATCTTTCAGTGTATGGATCATCGATTGCAAGAAATGGATGAACGCCAATAACACTAATTATATCGTGGATAAGATGTATTATTGACACCTTCAGTGTTATCTATATGATTTCCCTTCTCAATAATTTCTTTGAACTTTCTTAGTATATGTTATATTATGAATTTTTGTTTTCAGTCTCTGAGGCATATTTCAGTCTTTAAATTTATGTTATGTTATGAATTTTTGTTTTCAATTTTTGAACCACATTGCTGCATTTTGTTGAACGTACGTATGTGGTTAGCGTTCTGGAACGGGCCGTTCTGAATCCAGAACGGCCCTTTCTAAAACCAGAACAGCCCGTTCTGCTTGCACTCGCTGTGTTAAATAATGCATCTGGAACGACCCATTCCAGGTGCAAAATTAACACACCAAGAGTGCAAGCAGAACGGACCGTTCTGATTTCAGAACGGACTGTTCTGGTTCCAGATGCATTAAAAAAATTTGGCATCCACCTATGCATCTACGTGACATCCACGTGGCCAACAATTAACTCCATTTAAATAATTTAGACAAAAGTCTAACATTGCAGTAATTTAAATTATTAAGAACCAAATTGAAACAAAAAATTAAAGTGAGACTAAATTAAAAAATAAAATATTATAAAAGACCAAATTAGTATTTTAACTTAAGATAAATATAGACAATGTTGGGCTAAAATTTGATATTTACAAAAATAGTGTACACGCTTCAATAAAATAATTAATTATACCTATTTCCATCATAAAATTATGGTAACAGTAATTATAGATAGTAAGAAACACTAGTACATTGTAGGTTAAAATATCAATAAATATAGATATTAGAAAGAAAGAAAAATCAATACTTCTCAATATGCTAAAAACAAACATTTCTGTACCCTAAAAAAAACATTTTCATAAATAACAAATGACCGAAGCAATAACTCCTTTGGTTGTGAAGAGCAAAAGTTAAGGCCCAAATTACTGTCCTAAATCTTCTTTCAAAAATAAGACCAATTTCGTTGGATTTGACTTGAAATAAATGTAGCCTCCAACTCAAGTCATCTTCAAATCCCAATTCTATTAGAGGGAAACATAGGATCAAACATTTTACAGACTTGGTCACTTCCAACATCATGTTTTTCAGAAACCCGATAACATGATGCGACCCTGTTTACCTAAACTTTGATATTTATAGATATAGCTATAACTTGCCTCTAACCAGTAAGTAGTAACATCCATAAGAACATTATAGACACCAATTAACTAAGAAAAACCAAACTGAAAATATCACCGCTTTACCAGTGATAATCATAGAGACATCCAATGAGATGAAGACTCATTGTTACCCTTTTCTCAGTCATAGCCCATCAGGCATATCCAGCCATTCCAACGGTGGAGCTAACACGATTTGCTTTATGAGAAACTGGTGTGGTCGTTGCCTTGGTGAAATACATGTAATAGTATAAGTTAAGAATCATGGTTGCAACGATGAAAATTGCTCCTGCAACGAAGACGCCTTTCCGCAAGGCTTCACAAGAGAAGTTATGAGCATAAATCACGGTCCGGTATTTGGTGTGGTATGCATTCTTGGTTGCACCTGCTATTAAGCATGCTTCTGCTACCAGGAAAGTGACCCTGGAAATGCATAAAATGTGTTTGAATAGGTGTTAGCTAAATTCATTTTGTAACACTGATTTATGTTTAAATGTTTTTAAACTAAAAGCAAGTCTCAAGTTTAGTGTAAAACTTGGTGTAAATTTTTTTAATCTAACTTGATTTTGTAACAAAGTGATTTATGTTTAAAGGTTTTTACTCTAAAAGCAAGTTTTTAAGTTTAGTTTGGTGTAAATTTTTTTAATCTAACATACTACTAGTCAAACTCGGATTTGGAGGCAAAATCAATTTTACCGAACAATAACCAAACATTTGTATCCTTACTAAAATCACAAAATTAATTATAATACTTCCCACACTAACAAATGAATCTTAATGATTCACTGGTGAAGAGCATAAATGATCTTACAGATCCACCACAATACAATAGTGTAGTGTTCAATGAGAAATAATTTTGTATGTTTTCAGCACTAGGAAGCTTTACATGAATAAAGACAAAAACAACTCATAGTGTAGAGTAAAATAATATTTCCAGGCTGGACCAAATTTATAGGCAAAGGGTAAGAGATTGTGTATGTTACAAAAACAATTAAACCAGCAGAAATGAGGCAAATCGCAAATATGAAATCTTCAATGATTATTTTTTCACTAGAGTTCTTACCACTATTTAAGCATATTCAATATCAATTGCCAAGACCAAATAGAAATTGTGTAATAATTTAGAATTCTTACCATGAAGAAAGAAAATATATAATGGACCACGCTCGATTTCCTCCAGGTGTTAAGGGCCTCCCAAAGCACATGCACCTAGTGACTCCCATTAGCAGTGATTCACCTGAAAGAAGAAACAGGAAAGCACCCACTCCATAACCAGTTGCAACATCTGAACTGTAGCTGCAATATGTTTCATTTGTTCCTTCAATTTTGATCATGGTCCCCTGTCATGCAAGACCAGAGAAAAAGGGGTCAAATCAACGAAAGAATAAGATTATTAATTATATCAAAGTGAATATGGCAAAAAACCTAAAATTACTAGAGTCTATGAAAGAAAGAAGAAACCGTGCACAGCAGGGAATAAAAGCTAAGACAGAATGAGAATTAGGGGAAAGAAGATCACAAATCTTGGCACTCTCTAATTGCCGAGGCTTGTTTCATTCGTTGCTTTTGCACTTGCTTCTTTATAATTCATAAAATAAGGACCTGCTATCACCTTGATACAGGTCTGTACTTTCTATTAATATACTGAATTCAGTTATGGTACCTATCAGACTATAGCTCACTACATTAATAACACTAACAGCAAAAATATTAACTGGAGAATATCAGACGTATATGCAGCAAAATACCATGTCTAGAATTCACGTTATGCAAGTGTGATGGTGCTTTATAGGGTCAAAACATGCACCATATCTGTGAATTTTATTGCTGGATATACTCTTCAAAATCGTTCTTTTATAGTTTTAACATATTATTTCCCTTTCACATGATTTTCAAGGTTATTTGAAACCCACGTGAATTTACAACAAACCAGGTAAAAAAAACAGCAAAGGGTGTACTGTGGAGATTGGAGCCACCAAAAAGATGTAAAAAAGGCTCTTACAGAATGCCTACTTGGAACAACTTACTGTTTTGAACATTTTACTCAGCCTAATAACATGTAACATAATGGTTGCAAACCTACACACACAGAAAAAGGGAGAAACTGATGGCAACCAAGTCCTTAGTGCCATCCCAGCCCAAGATGCTCAGCCCAAGAGAAACACAAGGAGGCCTATTTATCTGAATGACTTTGAGTAGCTATTGTGAATCACATTTAGAGGATTATTTTGTTACATTTCTTATGTGTCATTGATAGATATTACTGCAGGACTTTGTTAGGATTTCCATTCACTATTACTGCTTTTGCTTTTGGTTATTAGATTCCATTTTGTTGCTGTCATTTGCGAAGAGCCAATGGTTTGCAATTGTAATCCTTATAAATACCATTACAATAAATAAGAAAGGAAGGAGAATTCAGAATATATTTCTTTTTTTCATTAGTAGTATAAGGAGACTTCCATATCCTTGAATTTTAGCTCTATCAATTGGTCCGACCTGCCATGGCTGACTATAATACCCCGCAAATCTGCCATCGAACGTTTAGACGAAGCGATCCTTCACCTTACCCAGGGACACACCACCCTCGCCAACAATCACCTCGACCTCTCGCGTAAGGTAGATACTATCCTTGACCGCCTTGCTCACATCCAAACCAGACCTGCCTCCCCACCCAAAACACCTCATTCTCGACCTCCCATCAAACTCACAGTACGGCATTTTGATGGCCATGACCCTCTAGGATGGATCTTTAAGATCTCTTAATTCTTTGATTACCAGGGCACCCCCGAGGATGAACGTATCACTGTTGCCTCTTTTTATATGGATGGCCCAACTCTTAGCTGGTTTTAATGGATGTTCCGCAATTGCTTTATCATGTCGTGGCCATCCCTCCTTCAGGCTCTCAAGACTAGATTTGCTGCTTCATTCTACGGTGACCCTAGGGGTATGCTGTTCAAACTTTCTCAACATGCGTCCATGAATGAGTACCTAACTGAGTTCAAACGACTTGCCAACCACATCGTAGGACTCGCTCCTCCCTTCTTGTTAAGTTGCTTCATTTCCAAGCTATCCCCAAAGTTACGCTGGGAAGTTCAAGCCCTCCAACCCATTTCACTTCCTCAAACAGCTACCCTAGCCAAGTTATAGGAGGATAAGCTCAACAGCGGCAAATACGCATTCCGCAATCCCAACCACTCATCGTTGTCCACATCTTTGGCATCCTCCACGTCCAAGCTCCCTTTCAAGCATTTGACGCCAGAGGAGTTAGCATCTCATTGCGAGAAGGGCCTTTGTTACAATTGCAATGGAAAGTTTAGTGTTGGCCACTACTATAAGGGTCACACCCTTTTACTCATTGCTAATACAGACACATCCGACACCATTCCCAGCCTCGACCCACCAATTCCTGACCCCATAGAACCCATGCCACCTGACCCTTTCATTCCTCAAATCAGCCTGAACACCCTCTCTGGCCTTTCTACCCCGAAAACTTTCTGCATATTCGACCTCCTCAACCAACGTCATGTCACTATCTTGGTCGATGATGGCAACACCCATAATTTCATGCAACCTCGGGTTGCCAAGTTCTTTTTCCTTCCCACCATTTCAACCAACATGTTGCGCGTCATGGTCGCCAATTCAAATGCACCCAACTCTGCCCCCAAACAACCCTCTAGATTCAGGGGTACACATTTTCAACAGACCTTCATGTGCTTCCCATTAATGGTGTTGATATTGTGTTAGACGTCTAATGGCTCAAGAGCCTTGGACCTATTACAACCGACTACGCCTCTCTCACCATGCAATTTCATTGTTTGGGGAAACTCGCGGATCTCCATGTTGATGTGCCTGCTAAACCTACATATGTTTCGGCCCAACAACTAAAGCAACTCATGCAAACTCATGCCACTTCAACCCTATTCCACCTAACCATAACACCCAACCCACAACCCATTTCCTAATCACATAACACTGTTGTCTCAGAACTACTCACTAAACATGCAACCTTGTTCGAAACACCCACCCAAATACCCCCATGTCGCATCATCAACCATCAAATACACCTTCTACTTAACTCTGCCCCCATTAATGTGCGCCCTTATTGCTATCCTCACTTTTAGAAATCGGAGATCGAAAAATAGGTCGCCACTATGTTATCCTCCGACATGATTCAATTGAGCCGCAGTCCTTTCTCTCCTCCCGTATTTCTTGTCAAAAAAAAAAAAGATGGGAGTTGGCAATTTAGCGTCGACTACTGCCCTTTGAATGCCATCATGGTGCGCAGCAGGTTTTCGATGCCCACCATCAACAAGATGCTTGATGAGCTAGGCCATGCATCGTGGTTCTCTAAACTTGATTTGTGTCAAGGATTCCATCAAATTTGTATGGTCGAGGATGATATTGCCAAAACAACTTTCTACACTCACCACAGCCACTACAAATATTGTATAATGCCATTTGGTCTTTGCAATATCCCATCCACTTTCCAAGCCACCATGAACAAGCTTTTTAAACCATTTCTTCATAAATTTGTTACCGTTTTCTTTGATGACATTTTAGTTTTTTAGTGACTCATATGATGCTCACCTTCAACATTTGGATTGTGTTTTTCTCACTTTACTATAAGGTCAGTTCTTTCTCAAATACTCTAAATGTTTGTTTGCCCAACGCCAATTGGAGTACTTGGGTCATATTGTATCCCAACACGACGTTGAACTTGAACCATCCAAAATCTAGGCTATGGTGGATTGGCCAGTTCCTACGTCAGTCAAGGAATTGTGTGGCTTCCTTGGTTTGACTGGATTCTATCATAAATTTATTAAGGGTTACACCACTACTACTTCTCCTTTAAATGCTCTTTTGCACAGGGACTATTTCCAGTGGAATCCAGAAGCTTAATCTGCTTTTGAACACCTCAAACGAGCTTTGATAGAAGCTCATGTTCTTACTTTACCACACTTTAGCATTCCATTCACCCTCGAAACAAATGCTTCAGGTCAAGCCATGGGTGTTGTCCTTATGCAACAAGGTCATCCGGTGGCACTTTTTAGTAAACCATTTTGTCTAAGATTACAATGTGCTTCCACTTATGTCAGGGACTTCATGCTATCACCACAACTATTCGCAAATGGCACCAATATCTATTAGGCCATTCCTTTGTCATCTTGACCGATCATAAGAGCCTTAAAGACTTAAGGGTGATGATAGCAATCTAGTCCTTAGTGCCACCCCAGCCCAAGATGCTTGGCCCAAGAGAAACACAGGGAGGTCTATTTATCTAAATGACTTTGAGTAGCTATTGTGAATCACATTTTAGAAGAGTATTTTCTTGCATTCTTAGGTGTTATTGATAGATATTATTTCAGGAGTTTGTTAGGATTGCCATTCACTATTACTGCTTTTGCTTTTGGTTATTAGATTCCATTTTTTGTTGCCGTCATTTGTGGGGAGCCAATGATTGGCAATTAATCCTTATAAATACCATTACAATAAATAAGAATGGAAGGAGAATTCAAAATATATTTCTTTTTTTTCATTAGTAGTATAAGGAGACTTCCATATCCTCAAATTCTAGCTCTATCAGAAACACGGAGAAAATATATAGCACCAAAAATGAAAAAGATATATGCAAGCTCTTTGGAAGTCAACCAAAAAAGTTTTGGTACAGACACAAAACTGACGAGAGAAAAACTTCATTTCAATTAATTAATATATCATCCAAGAGGCAAAATAAACACATGAGCCTGATGCAATTGAGGGCCTAGTTGCAAAAGGATAATGCTTATTAGTAGAATATTTCAACAAAATGTAAACAATAGGACCAGCTGTAGAATTTTGCATTATGTTGTAATTGAATACACGAATTAAGTAGACTTAAGTCTCGTATTGTGGCATGATGAATTACATAAAATGAATTGAGCTCCTCTTGTAACCTAAAATCAACTTTATTTTAGATTCTTTTGGATAAATTTCTCCATAAACACCCGTAAGAGAAGAAAAACCAACTTCAATAATAGAAAGGAAAATTGAAATTAGCTTCTTCATAAGCTAGGTGTATGTATAAGCTAGTTCGTGAGTGATATATCATATTAGCTTCTCCAAAAAAAATAGTTTTTCTTAGTTTATTTATAAATAAAAACTAATTTCATTTTTACTTCCTATTTTTTTTCATATGAATGAAATAATTTATTAAAAAGGTTAAATAAATAAGTGGAGTGAGTTTAGGGGGATGCTCAATTTATTTTATTAACTTTTTTGTTTTTATTTTTCTTCTTGAAGGAGAAATTTATCCCAAAAGTGACTTAACCTAGTATTTTGCTTATCCGCAGTCCGCCTTTAGTTGAACAAATAAAGCACTCGAAATACAAACACAAAACTTAGACATAAAATTTAACATAGATCTATGTTAAATTGGCAAGTTATGCATGGAAATAATAACATATGAGTAAAAAGACAAACAAAAGCACATAAAGTTTATCAATGTAAATGAAATTGAAGTGTGGGTGAGACATAAAGAGAAGTGGCTCACAACGCTTCTTCTTCTCTCAGCGGCAATGGCGAAGCCAAATGCGACCAAGCTCAAAACGATGACCAAAAGGTGCACCAGAGTTGACCCTCTTCCCTCTGCCATCCCTTGCTGCTGCCAAACCCTTCTGAAAAAAATGGGTTTCTTGGTTGAGTTGAGCTTTAGAGTATAGAGTGAAGTACAGAGAGAGGAGAAAAAGTGTGACTTTTTTTGTTTTTTGTTTTTGTTTTTTTTGGGTTCGAGCAGTGAGAAAAGTGTGAACTAAAGTGACTGCTTACGCTGATTCGCGGTCTAATAATGTAAAGCGATGTTTGTTTCAATAAAGCTGTTGGGAAGAATGTTGGACCCACGCGCCAATGCAGAGAGTGTATCATACGAGCGATGATTTTAACGAAGGATCGGTGTGAGAGCGCAGTGAGGTACGCTGGTTGTAGTCACGCGCCTCGTTGTGTTATCATCTACGAGCCAACCATGATTTTCGGCTATTCAAATTCCTATTTGTTTGTTATTTTAAAAAATTAGATTTGGTTTTCCGATGTGCAATGTACTGTTTATTTTAATAGGTTGTGTCATATAATATTTAATTTTTTTATGATAGTTATTCTATAAATTAGTATCATGTTTATTATGTATAATATAAATAAATTTTTTAATAAATTATATATAAATAAATATTATATTTGAATACATATAAAATTTTTAAATATATAAATTATATTTTAAATTTAAGATAAATATTTGTATTGTAAGAAAAATATTTATTTTTAATTATTGATAATTATTTTAAAATAAAAACAACTTTAGATAAGAAGTTAAAATAAAATTCTTAGAAACCCTCTTCTTAAATAAATTCCTAAAGAATACTTTTATGTTAGATAAATGTTCATGTTTAATATATAGGAGTTTATAATATATGTATATATTATTTAAATATATAAATCATATTTAAAATTAGTATACATAAATATTTTTAAACATATAAATTATATTTTAAGTTTATGATAAAAATCAATTTAGATAAAAAGTTAAAAATAGATTTTTACAAACCCTCTCATTAAAGAGAAGTCCCTAAAAAGTCCTTATAAAAGGTAGAGGTTTGTATTTAATATATAAGGGTTGATATATTGTATAACTCATAAAAATTATGCTTAAAACTGATATGTTTACTTGTATAATGCATGGATTATTGATTTTAAATATATTTTATATAATAAAAATATAGTTTATGTTTTAAAGTATATTTTTATATTTAAAATTATTGTTGTTCTTACCAAGTCCTATAAGTGTCCCACATTAGCGGGATGATGTCTTCATTACTCCAATATCCGTGCGATGGGAGACACTTGCAAAGACATTTTAGTTCTCATGTTAGAAGGAAGTTTAGGTTAAGAATGAAATTAAGGTTGAATGTGTAGAGAAAAGAAAGACACTAGAAGGAGGTTAAATAGTGTTAATCAAAAACTCAACATTTTTTTTGAAACAATGAAGTAATATCCAAAGTCTTACGAGTGTAAACGAAGAGTTAAGAGAAAAGACACACAATATTTTTATATTGGTTCGTCTCAACTATTAAGACTACGTCCAGTTCTTGATCAATCTAATCAAGTTCCATTATCATTTACAAAGATACAAGTATTCTTTCACATGCCACTTTTGGCTCAATGTAATCATTCTTTGACTTGTCTTTTCAAGCAACTATCCAAGTATTCTTTGAACGCAAAGCCTCTCTAGACTTCAACAACCAAATATTCTTTTACAATCAAGCATCTTCAAGCTCAAAGGAAAGACACAAAGTTAAAGTTGGGAAAACTTTGTTGTTTCGTCTTAATATCAAGATGTGATACAAACAATTTAAGTACTAGGCTTTCTATAGAAAGAATGAGTATAAGATTTTTTACAAAATTAGTCTTTCTCTCTAAATCTTCAAGCTTCTTTATATAGGTGATTCATGAAGATGATCATTGCAAATCCTTAAGCATCTCTAACATATTTGCTTCATTTGTCTTCATTTTTGTTCCTCTTGTGGAAAGAAGTGATCGTTGGTGCATTAAATGTGTTTCACCAAATTGTCACTTTTTATCTTATCAATAAAACTACTTATCACCTTTGCGGGCTAATGACAATTCTCATGCATATGCAGAATATGCTGCTGAATTAGCTGTTGTCATGCCCCAGAAATCTGCTGCAGCAGCTACTACAACTCAGCCAATTGTAGCTGCTGATCCGACTGCAACTATGGTCAGCCATAATGATGACAATTCACTAGAAGGCATGCCCTCTTTAAAAGACCTCTCAACTGATCCAAACCAACTTTGCTCATATAAGGATCATAGCTCCAGTACCGCGGCTGATGTTGCAGCTGGTGCAACTGTGACTGTTGGTGCAACAACTAAATCAGTAGCTGCGATTGGAAATGTGAAGGCAGCAGCTAAGGTACGTCAAGCTGGTGCAATAGATCAATTTGTGGACTGTAATGTGGAAGCATTAGCCGAGTTAGATGTAGGAAGTAAGGTCGGTTCAGCTAAATCTGGTCATAAAAAAGGAAGGCTATCTGAACCAAGGAATGCAAGGGGTAAGCAAACTTATGCTGCAACAACTTTGGATGGTGTTGATGTACTCGACCAGGGGCAAGCAAACTTATGCTGAATATCAACTAAGGTCTAAAGCAAGGGCAGCCAAATTCGCTAAATTCTCTTATTGTATTTGGAGATTTAGGGAGTGCAAGTTTGCCTGATACGGTTTCGAAATATGCCACTTGATTGGCATTGTTTTGTAACTTTGTTTTCTTTTTCTTTCTCTGGTGGGTTTTGGTTTGGTCCCCCCACCTTGTACTTTTACTTTTTCTTACTAAATTTAGCACTTTTGATGTGAAGCATATGATTGATGGAGGGCGAGGTGCTAACCTAGTTAGGATCCCCCCCTTCATAGTGATGTTATACCATATATTAAATTATTTTGCATTATAGATAAAGTACTTTGTTTGAGAGACTTAATGTTTATGTAACCAATCATATATAACAATTCGTATAGTATGATTTGAAAAACTTTTCTCTTGAAAAACGACTAAGTTTGTCATCATTAAAACTTATACCCCGAGGGATTTAAGATCATCTTTTGATCTAACAGAATGGAACTTGATACTTCTTATATAAGTGGTTTATAATGTTGCCTGATTCTAGGAGATAATTTTGCATGATAATTGTTGATACGCTCCTCTGATTGCATGTGGTATTTAATGAACCATTGACGTTTCGTCCAATATTCTAGGAAATATGATATGAGGATACTTCATGTCAATTGTGTTTTGGATCTAATGTAGCGAGCTAATTGGGTTATTTGACTAGTCTAAGCACAATGTAAGCTTAGTTGGATTTGGCATAAACTCATATAAGTTCATCTAAGCTGGGAGGTACAATTGTTATTTTTATTTTATACTAATAAGAAATTAATTACATATCATTTATAAATTAATGTATACAATAATGAGGGTATATAATTAATGCATATGGTATTTGACAAAATTATTGAATAATGTTATTTTCTATACCAAACATTTGATAATGAAGATTCTCTTATGATAAAATTACATAAAATTGGTTATTTCACATACGTCCTCTATGAATATGTATTAATGTAACGGTTGATATTTTTAAATATATTAGTAAAATGCAAATTATATGTAACATCTCAAGTTTTTAGAATAAATTAATGGAATTTTAAATAATTAATTGGATTATTTTTATGAATGTTATTCAATTAAAGAAAATATTTCAAAATTGTTTATAATTATTTAAATTATAAGGAAGGGATTAGTCATTGTGATTAATTTGTTTTTACTGATGGGTTAAACTCAAGTTAAAAATATTCAATTAATGATTCATTGGTTCAACCTTTGACCCATTGACCCAATATTCTAACCAATTTGATGATTAATCCAGTTTTTAAAACATTAATGTTCACTTTTTTTCTAAAAAAAAATAAAGATAACACAACAAAAGAGGTTTTCATTGTTATTTTTTGTATGCAAAATATAAACTAGATTTCGTTGTATATTAACATACAAAGGAAATTACTTTTATTTTCTTAGCAAATTTGAAAGAGCAAAGAGGAAGAAGAAAAGAAGAAGACACACACTAAGTACATGAAGAAGAAAAAAGATAGTGAGTACTTGGATGAGGAAAAAAGAAAAGGCTGGAGATAGTGTTTTAAAACTCAAACTGGTGATCGACTTGGAAAAGGTATTAAGTTAATGGGTCACTGGTTGTACCAATTGATTATTGGTTTAACTACATGATTAATATATGATTAAATATTTAATTTTAAATAAAAGATATTGTAAAAATAATCTGAGTCATATATTCACGAATTTAGCACATTGGTTTAGTGGAAACCATGGTTTTAAATATGCAATAATGTATGAATTGGAATCTCAACTTAATCAAAATAGCTTTTAATTTCTTTTAAAATCTTAAGAGACTATCCAAAGGCATAGAAAGGTGGATTGGGAAAGCATGCATCAACCACCAATGACAAACCTGGGAAAACATGCATTGGTGGAACCATGAATCCAATTAGGTCACACCAACTTAAATTAGGTCAGTGACAGATTTGATCCAACAAAAGTTTATGTTGGTTCCAAAACAAGAAAGAAAGCAAACAAGAACATATCCTATGCAAGAACAAACCAAGAGAATGTAGAAACAAGAATATCCAACAAGAATGTAAACCCAAGAAAAATGCAATAGTAAAATGAAAGATTGAGAGAAGAGAAAACAAATTTATGTGATTCAGCCAATTTGGCCTACATCCACAAGATAGAGCAGATTCCACTATTTGAAAACAAGATCAAACCTTTACAACAAAGCAACCTTTTGCTCTTCTCAAATGTCCCTTAATCTTTCAAACTGATTTTCTTTTCCTCTATGTATCTTCTTCCTAACTCCTTATGCTCGCATTTAGCACTCTACTCTCACTTTTTTTTCTCTCTTTCTGTCACACTTAGGAAAGATTCAAGACACTAAGACTAAGTCTTATAAAATAGGACAAACTAAAAAACCCATTAGATAAATGGAGAGAGACTAGACCTACAAGACGATACAAATGAAAGTCTTTACAAAGCATACAGATGATACATTAGATTTTGAGTCATCATCAACAATTCTCCACCTTGACTATAAATCTACTGAAAAGAACCCTTTCACAAGAATTTTCCTACATGATTGTCTTCAATCGCAATCTTCTCAATCTGAATTT